TTTCAAATAAGTTTTTGGAGAATAAAATGTCAAAATTTGGTTGAAATAATGTTACATTGTCATTCAGTGTGACACAATATTTATGTAAAAATTCAAACTACATGCTTATTCTGACGTGTACATATTAAAATATATAAAAGAATAAGGGAGCATATTAAATTTGATCGTGTTTTAAATGAGTAAAAAATAATCTTAGACAAATGGGCAAAACCTAGGATTGTGGCAAATTTTAAAAATTTAAAATGTAAAATTACAACTAATTAGTATTTGGGGGGTGAAAGCATTTATGTCATAAATTGAAAGCATTGATAACATCATGCTTGGTAAATAATGAACAAACTTTTCACCACTTTTTCTTGTTTAATGTTAAACAATAATGTTATTCACAAGTTAAGCTCTCTTTATAAATTACAGCAGGGTATGACAGTCCCTCAAGGACAAGAAAAACTACCTTTCATCCTATTTATCATTTAATTTATTATCGTTTTGTATAGCATTAAAATGTGTTGTAGAAGGCATTTCATTTGAAAAGTTGTATTGACATTAAATTAGTTTGCTATTATTGTTAACTTTAAGTAATAAAACTGTATATGTATGAATAAAGCTGTATTTAGTAACATTTTGAATATTCTGATTTACTTTTCTAATAATTGTATTGTCTCTTGGTGGCAGAGTGGTTATTTCTTTACTCAAATTTGAAGACATAATGTTTTCTTATGCAGCCTTTCAAGTAAATAAACAGTTCAGCTTAGTTCATATTTTTATGTTTAGCTATATCTCATTGCACAGTGCAGTTATGTCAGTTATACTATTATAAATTACTGCATCATAACAATCATCTGTTTTTATTGCCGTATAGAATCATCTGCAGTTTTTTTTGTGTGTAGAATATGACATTTCTATGAATATTATTTTGTTCTAAGGCAAATAGAGGTTCTCCTGTCTACAATACTGACACTCTTTTCCATAAGCAATTATCTAATCTCACAAGCTGTGGCTATTTGGATACAGGCAGTGATAAACTGGCCATTGAATTTGCACGGTGTAATAGTAAAGAAGCAGAAGAGAGCTAGAAGAAGAAGAGCAGTTCTACATTTACCAGTGAAACACATCGTATCCATCTTATGTTTCAGCTGTAGATTCATGAAGGCAGCACAGATGAAGCCTGTTTAATAAGACCTGAATGAACAAGTGATCAAACAGGTTTGCCCTTGTGTTTGCTGATCATCTGTCAGGTGATCGCTCTCAACTACGTCTGAATATGGATCCGCTCCGGTCGTAGTTTATTCCCAAAATGGAACTAATGGAGGAAAATTAAAGCTTGAAAAGGTAGGGTTTATGCCTTTGGTTCTTTTATTAGAGTTTTCCTTTTATAAAATAAACTTAGTACATCAAAACCTGCGAGAATCCACCCTTGTCTTTTCCTGAACAGTATCTTAAAATAGACAGACGTATTACATAAAAATACTTCATGAACTATGTATTTTATACTTGATATATTATGAAAAACACTATATTACTAATAGTATATATTATATAAATCTGATTCTTGTCAGGTTAAATATATAAATAAGCCCAACAAAAGTAACTTTATGTCCTTCATTTCCAGGCCTGTCCATGGCAGAAAGACATGATTTTCTTTGCCGTTTTGGGTTTGTCCTTTAGAGAAATTCAACTGTCATTCTCAGAGGAATTGGAATATAGTATTTTGGGCATATCTGTTGTCCTTTTCCTTATAGCCCTCTGCGTTCTGATATGGCAGATTTACCGCCACTGTACACGGTTTCCTGTTTCACAAAGACCTGGTAAGTTACCATGCAAATGAACTGGTTGATTTTTATATTTGACCTAATATTACACAAGATTATATTATTAGAAACAGGTGTAGTTTTAGATGAGCATTTAGTATTTGTGGCTTAGATGCACAGTATTGTATGTATGACATTATTTATTATATCTACATTACTGTTCAAAAGTTTGGGGACAGTAAGATATTTTTGTTGTTGTTGAATACTTGAAATTAATTCTTTCATTGAAAAAAGGATGCACTAAGTTGATCAAAAGGGGCAGTAAAGACATTTATGTGACAAAAGATTTTTATTTCAAATACATTGCTCTTTTGAACTTTCTATTCATCTAAAATTTTGAAATGTATTATGGTTTTAACAAAAAATATTGATAAACACCAAATCAGCATATTAGAATGATTTCTGAAGGATCATGTGACACTGAAGACTGGAATTTGTGATCAAATAAAATGCAGCCTTGATTAGAATAAGAGACTTCTTTCAAAAACATAAAAAAAATCTAATGCTAAAAAAATGCTAAAAAAAAAATCACATGCTAATGGGGTTTATGCAAAATATCTATCAACATCTATTTGATTCTAGTGAATATTTTGTTAGCAGATGGCCTGTTGGCTAGGAGCGGAGGTTTTCAGTATGCTACACAAACAAATGACGCTAAGGTAAGATTCATTTACATAAGCCATCACTATCTTCATAACCTGGAATTCATCCATTTTGTACTGTGTTTGCTTGCTTAGTTTTTGCTTGCTTTGACCTAGATCAAACAAAATGGATGAAAAACATGTTTCACAGATGGTTTGCTTTGGTTGCCAACCGCATGTGTGTATTTCTAAATATCCAATAACACTATGTGACTATGCTAGAAAATTAGACCTGATACACACTCTGTCCATCAGATGGAGGTTCATTATGAGGAACTGAGCCACCGCCTGTCCCCTGGCACCTCTTACACTAACCTGGGCAGTAGTTTAGATCTAGCAAGCATAGCAGATCTGGAAGAGGAGAACATCCAGGGATCTCTGCGCTTTTCACTGTTCTACGATCAGTTGCAGTCTAGACTGGTGGTGACGGTGCTGGATGCCCAGGATCTAGCCGTGCGAGACTCCAGTCACAGTGTGGACCCATTTGTTTGGGTGCGGTTGCTGTGGGCAGAAAGAGAGGATGAGGAGCAGAGTTCAATGCAGTGTGTTCTGGATGAATGGCAGACGCGTTTAGTGAAGAAGAGCTGCAGTCCTGTGTTTGGAGATCAGTTCTCTTGCACTCTGGCTGAAGAGGAAGTATCAAAAGTCACTGTTAGATTTGAGGTACGTAATGGGCCTTACATCTTATTTTATCGTGACGCATTAATTCACTTTGGATTGTTTGTTTTAGGTTAGGGATTTTGATAAATACTCAAGACATGAAATTCTAGGAGAGGCCCATGCTCGCCTGAACAGTCTGAAGCTCTCATATCCCCTGGAGTTAAGAAAGGAACTGCAAGTACCCAAGAAAGTAAGTTTTATAATAATAATAATAATAATAATAATAATAACATGTTTTATTTATATAGCGTCTTTCAAAAACCCAAGGATGCTTTACATAAAGTTGACAGATAACATGAACACAAATACAAATATACAGTTGCATGATCAAACAAATAGGCAGACAGAGATCTTATAGTGTACAAGATAAGTAACAAACGCAAGCATGGAACTGAAAAATGAGGCAGACAATCAATTAACAAAACATATTGTAAATAAGTGAGTTTTGAGATCAGTTTTAAAGCTCTGGAGTGAAGAGACAGCAAGGAAGTTTTGAGGAAGTTTGTTCCAGAGCTTAGGAGATGAAATGCTGAAAGCCCTGCCACCCACACAAGATAGTCGGAAGTTAGGTAACTGCAAACAAATTCCCAGAACTCAATCTCAGAGTACGAGCAGGGGTTAATTAATTCAGAAAGGTAAGAAGGTGCAGAACAATGAGAAGCTTTGAAAACTAGGATGAGTATCTTAAACTGAATATGATAGATAACGGGGAGCCAGTGTAATTGCTGTAAGACAGGAGTGATGTGGGCTGATTTTCTGGTAAATGTAAGGCCACGAGTAGCTGAATTTTGAATTAGCTGCAAACGATCAAGGGCTTTGTTGGGTAGGCCATATAACAAGGAGTTACAATAGTCCAGGCGTGAAGTTATAAAAGCATGAATAACAGTTTCAGCATCTTTGAAATTTAGTGAGGGTTGTATATGGACAATATTGCGAAGATGGAAAAAACAGTACTTGACAAGCTAGTTGATATGGGGTTCAAAGCATAGTGTGGAATCAAATAGTACACCAAGATTACGTATAGTGGGGGAGGGATGAACTATAGCTCCATCAATGTTAATAGAGGAGTCAAGATGAGAGGAGACAAAGGATTTTGGGCCAACTAACAGAATCTCTGTTTTTTTTTTCAGTATTTAATTTTAAGAAATTTTGAGCCATCCATACTTTAAGGTCATGTAGGAAAGATGTTAAAGAATAGGACTGTGCAGTAAAATAGATTTGCATATCATCAGTTTAACTGTGGAAATTAAGAACAAGGCGCCAGATGATCTGACCCAGAGGAAGCATGAAGATTAAAAACAGAAGTGGACCAAGAACAGAACCTTGAGGCACTCCACGGGAAAAAGTGACAGAGCAATATTTTTGTTTATCAATGCTAATGAACTATTGCCTGTCTGAGAGATATGAACTTAGCCACTGTTTTAGTTTCTGTAATGCCGATCACAGACAAATGAGAAATACAGAATGTCAAACAGTTTCAAAAGCTGCGCTCAGGTCCAAGAGGACTAGAAGGCTGAGGATACCAGAATCATAGGCAAGGTGGAGGTCATTCACTACTCTTAGAGGAGCAGTCTCTGTTCTGTGGTGAGGACGAAATCCGGACTGAAATGGTTCATGCTAATTATTCTTGTCCAAATTAGTTTTTAGTTGTGTGGCAACCACCTTTTCTAGGACCTTAGACAAAAAGGGAAGGTTGGAGATAAAATTACCCAGGACTGTTTTGTCAATGCCAAGTTTTTTGAGTACTGGGGTGATCACAGCTACCTTCAGTCCAGTAGGTACATAACCAGTCATAAGGGATCTTTTTATCATGCGAGTGATGGGTATAATGAGACAAGGCAGAACTTTTTTGAGCAGGCTTGTTGGTATTGGATCTAGCTGAAAGGAAGATGAGTTAGAGTTCATAATCAGCTGCTCAACCACAGATGTATTGGTGAGTGTAAAGTTAGAGATTCGATAGGGTGTCTGAGAGGCATAGGGTTCTGAAGGAGCAAAGGAAGAGAAAGATTGATAGATATTGTCAATTTTGTGTACAAAAATGTCAGAAAATATTCACAGAGGTCAAAAGAACCATTAGGAAAGGGAGATGGTGGTTTGATAAGTTTGTTGATCTCAGAAAATAGAGTCCTACACTTTGCTTTGTTAATAATATTCGACAGGTAAGTAGAGCAGGCAGCGTTAAATGCTTTTTTTATATTGTAACATGAACTCTGAGTAAAAGGTAGCATGAACAAGAAGATCTTCTTATACAGTCGCTCAAGGCGCCTAACCTTAGCCTTCATTAATCTGAGCTCCGGGGTGAACCAAGGGGTGAGTAAGCTAAGCCTTAAGGGGACAGTTCTGGTCTTTAATGGGGCCAGAGCCTCCAAGACATTATATGTAGCTTCATTATATAATGAGAGAATCTCACCAGGACAAAAGAGATAATCAGAGAGAGACAAAGAGGAGGCAGCAATAACAGTACAGAAATATTCAGTACTTATGTTTTTCATGTTTCAGTAGGATATTGTAGATTTAATTTGAGGTTTTACAAGGGAGAGAGAAAAAATGAAGTCAATGAGATTATGGTCAGATATGCTAACTTCGAGACCCTGGACACAAACATGGTCAATGCCAACAGAGCAGATTAAATCAATGGTATAAGAATGAGAATGTGTAGGAAAATCAATGTGCTGTGAAAAATCAAAATAATCTAGTATAGCCATAAAGTCCTTAGCAGATTTCAGTATAACAAATTGGAAATTATGAGATGAAGAACAATTGGTACATTTTCTGTGTAGGACGTGGTTGGTGAGGCACTGCTCTCTCTGAAATACATGCCTACATCTCAGAGGCTGGAGGTGGGAGTTTTGAAGATCTGCACAGTATGTCATCCCAATAAGACTGAGGGAGGTGAGGAATATTTAAGTTTATACTTATACATGAATGGAATTGTTAAAGAGTATTTGAAATAAACTACACTGTTAACTGTGCTGCAAAGAATAAAAATACTTTTTTATTCTTTAACACTTATTTATATATGGACAAAAATATTGGGACACACCTCTTAATTATTGAATTCAAGTGTTTCAATCAGACCAATTGCCACAGGTGTATAAAAAAAGAACCTAAGCATGCAGTCTGCATTTGCAACCACAACATGTCTATTTCAGTTATTTGCAAAGGCTACATTTCTATTTTGTTTCAGTTTTTACGTTTAGTTTTTTCATCTAATATGTATATTTTACTTTCATTTCTGCTTTATTTCAATTACCTGAAACAATTTTAATAGTTTTAGTTAACAAACAATAATAAGACTGATACAGCAATGATTACATGGAGCTTTTCAGATGCAGCACGATTGTGTGATATTGCTTACCAACAGTTCACCAACAAGAAGTTACTATTGAATAACTTACATCTTTGACAAAGCATTTCCAGTATATCTATTTTTGCTCCGCTAATCGAAAATAATTCCAAACAAATTTACAGCAGACCGCTGCAGCGCACGGTAGTGGCGCTGAATGACTCATGACCAGTGTCTCCACCTACTGGCGTAACAATGTATCTTCCCTTACTAATGGCCTTGTAAAAATTAAGAGTTGAATGTACAAATTTATTCATTATGAACCAACAACGAACAATAGTGTATTTACAATTTAACATTAACCAAGCTTAATTAATAAATGCGGTAAATTACTTTTTAAATTATTTTTAAAGCGTTTGTTGATTGTACTCACAGCTCTCTATGCCAGAACCAGCGTTACCTGCAACCACTGCAAACTTCGACATCAGAGGACAACACAGAAGAAGCGCTGGAAGGTTACTGTGTTCAATGAGGTCCTGACCTTTGTGTTGCCAGATCAACAGATTACAGAGTGCACCATTATAGTGTCTGTTTACGAAATTCAGACTTCAAAGAAGTCTTCCAAGCGTTTGATTGGTCATATCCACATCAAAAAGGGAAAGACCTCCGAGGACGAGCACTGGAAACTGATGATGCAATCACTACGACAGCCAATCGCTAAGTGGCATTCAATCTTTATCTGAAGACACCTGGGCTGTATTCAAAATTGCCCCCTATACCCTCATTCACTATTCCCTACATTAGTCCACTCATACAGTTCACTTGAAGGAGTGAATGAAAACGAGTGAGTTGCCTTGTCCAAATACTTGCGGTCTTTGCACTTGACTACTTATATGACGTATTTCCTGCATTTGGTCCAAGTGTTCAAGTGAGCATGAAGACCACAAGTGTGTGTAGAACTTTTCATTACTTGATAGGACACACTTATAGTGTTGTAAAAATGCAAGTGTTTACAGAACTTTATTTTTATTTTCAATACTTTGCATTTTAAAATCAACTTCTAAATGTCTGTTCAGTGTCTCTATAACAGATGACAATTTAATTTTGTGGTGCTTCTAATTAAAGGGGTCATATGATGCTGCTAAAAAGAACATTATTTTGTGTATTTGGTGTAATGAAATGTTTATGCGGTTTAAGGTTCAAAAAACATTATTCTCCACATACTGTACATTATTATTTCTCCTCTATGCCCCGCCTTTCTGAAACGCGTCGATTTTTACAAAGCTCATCGGTCTGAAAAGTGAGGTGTGCTCTGATTGGCCAGCTATCGAGAGCGTTGTGATTGGCTGAATACCTCAAGCGTGTGACGGAAATGTTACGCCCCTTACCATATTGTGATGCC